GCCCGCCCCCCAACCCTGCTCCCCAGGTGAGCCCCGGGGTCTCAGGTAAGGCTCCGCGACGCAGGTAAGCTCCCTTCGGCATAGATAAGGCCTCAATGCCCCCAGGTGAGAGCCTCTCCCCTCCTAGGTGACCCTCCACCTTCAGCGAGGCTGCCTGCCTCTTCCAGGTGAGAGACCCTCTCCCCAGATGAACTCCCTGCACCTCAAGTGAAGCTCCACCCACAATCCAAATACGGTTCTAAGGGCCAACCAATTCCTGAACTCCCATGCTCTTTCTGAACTGGGAACTGACAGCCCATCCACTCTGAAGCCCCTTCCTCCAGCTTCAACTGCCAGGTCAGCAGGGGTGAGGCCAGAAGCAGGTGGGTGACTCACCTTGGGCTCCTCCTAGCCTCAGTTTCCCCATTGATGCAACCTGAGGCCTCCTCATTGAGTCACAACCGAGACGACTCTGGTCTCTGGAGAGGTTGCTGGCTCTGGGGAAAGGAGAGAGCAGCCAAGTGTGACAGAGTCCCCATGGCTCTGGGAACGCCCGCTTGTGTTTTGCCTAGGCCCTGAAAACCCACCTACTCCCTCCTTGGCAGGCACTGGGCTCCCTCTGCTCCCCGTGGGCCGCTCCCCGCGTGGGGCCACTGCCCCCGGCCCCCGCCATGGTGCGGATTTCAAAGCCCAAGACATTTCAGGCCTACTTGGATGATTGTCACCGGAGGTATAGCTGTGCCCACTGCCGCGCTCACCTGGCCAACCACGACGACCTCATCTCCAAGGTAACCAGGCCGCAGTTGGGGCTGCGATGGGAGGCTAGCGGGGCTGCCTGGTAGCTCCCCACTAATAGTCCTGACCCTCTCCTCTCTTCCCACCCTGTAGTCCTTCCAGGGCAGTCAGGGGCGTGCCTACCTCTTCAACTCTGTGTGAGTATTCAGCCTCCCTCCTTTCTTTCCCTGACCTCTGTTGTGACCTGAGGCCTCTGGCATCATTCTGAGACTCCTAGAGTTCCCTGATCCAGGCAAGAAGCTGTGACCACCCTTCTCTTGGATGCTAAGGGCAGACACAGTGGATACAAGCTTGAGGGGGGCCCTGTGATGGCAGGACCCTCCCTGGGACTGCCCCATGTCCCCGCAGGGTGAACGTGGGCTGCGGGCCAGCCGAGGAACGGGTGCTGCTGACAGGCCTCCATGCTGTCGCTGACATCCACTGCGAGAACTGCAAGACCACTTTGGGCTGGAAATATGTGAGTCAGTGACCTCTGACCCCAAAGTAGCATTTGACCTGACTTGCATTACCTCCTGCTCAGAAGCAGTCATCTGGTCACCTTTCAGAGTACATAGGCCCAGCTCACACAAGTCACTACTGTCTTTTCATCCTCTGACCATGTTTTCTTCTCTTGCATCCTGTAAGGGCTTTTAGAATTTTTCTATTAACCTACCTCTTCCCTCACAGGCACTTGCAACACCAATTTAGATGAGGATATAATGACAGTTACTATCTATTGAATGCTTAAGTGCCATGCACTGTTGTGTGCTTGGCGTATATTATCTTATTTAATCATTACAACACTCCTGTAGGTAGAATCTATTATTAACTCCACTTTACAGAAGAAGACAGGGAGGCCCAGAGATGTCAGGTAACTTGCCCAAGATCACACAGCTGGTAAGTAACAGAATAGGGACCAGAATCCTAGTTGCTTTGTTTGTTTGTTTTTCCCTCCAAACTCTTGACTACCAACTTATATTGTCATTCATAGGATCAGAAAAGTTGCCCAAGACCCCACAGCAACAGGGAGTTTGAGTTCACAGGCCTCCATTTCCACTGCCCTCCTTGCTGCTGCTGCTGTCCAGGGTCTGATTTCACTACCTGAGTCTCATTTCCTTATCTGTTAGTGAAGGATAAAGTTATCACCTGGCACCCAAGATTGTTACAGGATCAGATTAGATGGAGCAAAGGAAGATGCTCTTGGGAAACTGCAAGGGACTGGATTCTGTAGGCATCGCTTGGAGCTGTGGTGCCTCTGTGAGCTGGATGCCCTAGACAGAGACAGACAGCCCTGACCTGAGCTCACCCCTGGCCTCGCCACAGATTTGCTGCGTGTGGCGTGGCTTCTCTAGACCTCTGTACAATAAAGAGCTGGCCTAGGCCGAAGGTCAAAACTTCAAGTGCCTGCAAGGCCAAGGTGTTACTGTGGATCTGTAAAAAGAGCATCATAATTGAGGGATGGGGAGAGGATTGGGAGGAGGCTGGGGCAAACTGGAGTGAGCATGGTCTGCTTATATTTTAATACTTTAAAGTTGTTTTTGTTAAACTCTGCTGTCCAAACAAAACACATAATGTAGGCCAAAATGGCCTTCAGGCCACCTGTTTGCAACTGCGGAGCTACCAAATCTTGAAGACAACAAAGAGTTGTATCTACACGGCTAGTGGAAAACGCAGCCCTGCCGTTTACCAGCTCTCTGTATCTGTGGGCAGGTGGCTTGACTTCTCTGGGCCACAGCTTCCTCACGTGTAAAAAGGGGCTAATCATATCCACGCCCCAACCCCTGTGCCTGTGGTAAGGCTCTTGCTCCAGGGATGACTGCTGCTTTCCTCCTTTCAGGAACAGGCTTTTGAGAGCAGCCAGAAGTACAAAGAGGGGAAGTACATCATTGAACTCAACCACATGATCAAAGACAACGGCTGGGACTGACCCCGGCTCCTGACGCATGTGGCACCAGCCTGGCCTGGCCGCCAGGGGGCGCCACTGGCTTCCCGCCGCCCGAGGGGAGCGCTGGACCCTCAGGGCCCCTGCCGAGGAAGGACCCAGCTCCTGTACATATATTTTATTGCATGCACTGTGACCTTGGGGGGAAATCAGAAGGGGGACGACACCCCCGCACCTCCCTGCGATCTGGCTGGCTTGGATCTCGTTTTTAACCCCTCCCCGTCCCGCCTGCCCCCTAGATATGGCCTGTGTGCTGCTCCCCGGGCCCCAGTGCACCATCTGCTCTGTGAACTCCCACCAGGCCCTCCTTACCCCACGCGTGTCTGTTCCCCTCGTTCTGTAGCGTTTGTACATAATAAAACAATGGAGTGGAGACGGCCCCAAGCTCACGTGGTCCGGGACGGGGGAACTCAAATGTAGATCCCTGGCCCTCTACCTGTTCGTTTCTGAGCCCCAGTGGCCGTCCAAGCTCTGGGTCTCTAGGAACCAGGACGGACCTAGCTTCCGGAGGAAATTCTCGAGCCCACTGTGGCTCCCCAGGCCTTGACCTCAGCCGCTCTGGGTCTTGTTGGCTTCAGTGTGTGGCCTCCGCCTAGGGGCAGCTCCCGTGGGAGGCAACCGCGCAGCCTGCCTCGCCGCTCTTTGGCTGGACCACAACTTCCAGCGGTCCCGGAGCGGTCTGGACGACTTTTCCAAGCGAGCCTTGGCGCTGGGCCTGCTGGGAAATGTAGTTCCGAGGGGTCTCCTGCGCGGGACTTTCTGGAAATCCCTGGCGAGATGTCAGTGGTGGTCGAGCGGTGCGCACCTCCCAAGTTTTGCGACTTGGCCCAGGGTGGAGGTTTTTCAGAATGGGAACCAGGGAGGACTCCTCGAGGTCCGAGTGCCCCGCATAATCTGCTCAGGCCATGTCCTCCAGCCCCGCACTTTCTCCCCAGTTAGGCTTCTTCCCTCCGAGGCTAGTCCTCCAAGCGACTCGGAGGGGTTGGAGAGGGGAGACTTGGAGTGGGGGGGTCGTCACCTGCTAGAAAGCCTGGGGCGCCGGCGTCTGCCCCGGGACTTGAGGTTTCTTCCCAGGGTCCAGGCCCCGCCCCCCAGCTTATCCTTCGCCGGGGCTTCCCCCGTGGGAACGGGGACCAGCTGGCCGGAAGCGCCAAACTGCGTCCCTGTCCTAGCCGTGGGGATCAATCAGGCCGAGGAGTTAATTATGTAATGAGGGGGCAGGGGGTCGGGGCTAATGAAGCCACCGGTGGGAGAGGGAGGGGAGGAGGGGAGGGTACCCAGGTATCCGGCCCCCTCTTGGACCCCTTCGAGGCCCCAGGGGTCTCCACCCCAGCCCAACTCCAGGGCCCCAAAGAGGGGAGGGGCTGTGATCCTGGGTTTGGAAGGGGCTGAGCTGTGAGCTATAAAGGGGGCATCTCTCAACACCGGGGGCTCTAGGCAGCAAGACCCGAGGCCAGAGGGGACTACAACATGTACCATCCCAGAGAGTTGTACCCACCTCTGGGGGCAGGCTACCGCCTGGGGCCTCCCCAGCCTGGGGCAGACTCCAGTTTCCCGCCTGCCCTGGCAGAGGGATACCGCTACCCTGGTGAGCCTTGGGACCAACTCCTGGGTAGGAGTATGTTGGGGCTGTGGCCCTAGACTGGCTCCTTATTCTTCCCCCATCTCCAGATCTGGACCCCCCCAAACTGGATTGCTTCCTCTCTGGGATTGAGGCTGCTCCCCGCACCCTGGCCGCGCCCCCACCTCTGCCCCTTCTGCCCCCGGCCATGGGCACGGAGCCGGCCCCATCAGCTCCAGAGGCCCTCCATTCACTCCCTGGGGTCAGCCTGAGCCTGGAGAACCGGGAACTGTGGAAGGAGTTCAGCTCTGTGGGGACAGAGATGATCATCACCAAAGCCGGGAGGTGAGGGACTGTCCAGGGTCCGTGTTGCCGGTAGGGGTCTCTTGGGAAAGGCAGAGTTCCTGGGGATGAACTTTACATAGAGGGACTCATAGTCAGTTCAGACTCTGACTATGGCCTGGGGCAGGGGTTACTCTATGGCTGGAATCAGAAGTTATTCTGTGGCAGGTTCAAGGGTCAATCTGTGGAGTCTGTGACTGGGTTTAAAGACCAGTCTATGGCAAAGGACATAGGTCAGTCTGGGCCAGGTCAGGGAGTCTGGCGGGTTATAGGTTAGTGTTGTGTGGCCTAGATCAGGGCTGGAATCTGGGTCTGTGGCCAGAATCAGGGTTCAGACTATGATTGGGGTCAAGGGCCATCCAGGGACCAGCATCGGGGAATCTGGTCAGGATCCAGGGTCAGTATGTGGCTTGAATAGGGGTAAGTATATGACTAGGTCCAGGGTCACCCTAGAGGCAGGGATGTGACCAGTATGTGGCCTGTGTCCAGGTCTTTGTCTAGAGCAAGAACTCAGGCCTTAGCGTGTGAAGTCCTCTGCCCCAGTGAAGGCAGGGAATATTTTTTTCCTTTCTGAAGCACATTTGTCTAAGAGCTGCAGATACTGGGACTGCCAGCTAGGTGAGGAGACAGGGTTGGGAGTTGGGGCCTCCCAGCAAGAGGGAGAAATGTTAGTCACCAGTGTCACCAGTGTTTCTGCAAACGGACTTTGAGGGGCTAGGAGTCAGGAATCTGGGCTTTGCTCCTAATTTGCTGTGTGACCCTGGTCAGATCACCCAACCTGTCTGTCCTGTTTGCCCAATGTGAAACTTTTCAGCTCTAAGACCGCCCTCTGGGTTCTAATTCTGCCTCCCTTAATGTTTCTCTGCCAGCACCAGGAGCCTGTTGCTATGCCCCCTTGCTGACGCCGTGCCCACTCCCGGCCAGGGGGTAGCTCCAGGCCTCTCCCATTCCCTCCCTTGTGCAGGCGCATGTTCCCTGCTTGCCGAGTGTCAGTCACCGGCCTGGACCCCGAGGCCCGATACCTGTTTCTTCTGGATGTGGTTCCAGTAGATGGGGCTCGCTACCGCTGGCAGGGCCGGCGCTGGGAGCCCAGCGGCAAGGCAGAGCCCCGCCTGCCCGACCGTGTCTACATTCACCCTGACTCTCCTGCCACTGGTGCCCACTGGATGCGGCAGCCTGTGTCTTTCCATCGTGTCAAACTCACCAACAGCACACTGGACCCCCACGGCCACGTGAGGCCCAGACTGGGACCCCAGGACAGGGGCTGGGGGTGGTGCTGGATGGGAGGCCAAGTCTAGGGTGCATGGTAGGGAGTCACTCCCATTTCTTCCCACCCAGCTGATTTTGCACTCCATGCACAAGTACCAGCCCCGCATACACCTGGTGCGGGCAGCCCAGCTCTGCAGCCAACACTGGGGGGGTGTGGCCTCCTTCCGCTTCCCAGAGACTACATTTATCTCCGTGACAGCCTACCAGAACCCACGGGTGAGTGACCCTGCTTGAGACAGTGGCGGTGCCCTGCCCGGGCCGCGGTTTTGATCCTAGGTGTGTGCCCCCAGATCACACAACTGAAGATTGCAGCCAATCCCTTTGCCAAAGGCTTCCGGGAGAACGGCAGAAACTGTAAGAGGTGGGCGTTGTTCCTTCTCATTCATTCAACAAGTGTTTATTAATGGCTCACTATGTGCCAGGCACTGTGCAGTGGTGAGTAAAAACATATTCACTCATTGATCCAACACATACTGATTCAGTACTGGAAGTACAGTAGGAAACAAAGCAAACCGAAGCCCCTGCCCTCGAGGAAGTGGGCAGAGCAGACTAGTAAACAAGAGAAATCAGTAAATAGTATATGTTAGTAGGACGTTCTAAAGAGAAGAGAAATAAAGCCAAGGACAGGAAGGACTGGGGTGAGGTATTAGATAAGAGGCCTCACTGAGAAGAGGACATTTGCAGGTGGTTATCTGGGGAAAGCATGCTAGGGATGGAGAACAGCTTGTGCAAGGGACTGTGCCTGGGTGTGGCTGGATGGAGTGAGGGGGCAAGCCAGGGAGGGAGTGGGAGGCCAGGTTATAGTTATCGGACAATTTAGAAAGAACTTGGGCTTCTATTCTAGTGCAGTTCCTCAGATTTGGCCCTGCCCTCGCGGAGCTTCCAGTGCCAGAAAATACACGAACCAAGGGTCACTCTAGCAAATGTAAAAGTGTGACTGACTACGAGGGAGGGTGAATGGTGCTCTGGGAGGTCAGGAAGACTTCCTTGAGAAAGCTGTGCTTGAACTGGGCCAAGAAGGATGAGTTAAGGAGGTGAAAAGCAACCGAAGAGGATTGCAGAGAGACGCTGAAAGGCAGCTGATGGAGATGGGGCAGAGAGATGAGCTGGGATCAGTCCCAGCCTCGCAGTTTGGGAAGCGCTTCCATTGAATCTAGGCACTGACAAGCTTAGGTGGCGATTACATCCCAGCTCTACCACTTTCTAGTTATTTCTCTGGCCTTCAGTTTCTTCATCTGTGAAATGGGTATAATGATGGCACCTACCCGATAGGGCCCCTGAGAGGGCAAAATGCCTGGCACCTGGTAAGTACTATTATTACCATCATCATCACCACCACCACCACCACCACCACTATTCCCCAGGGAGCGGGATGCCCGTGTGAAGAGGAAACTTCGGGGCCCAGAGCCAGTAGCCACAGAGGCCTATGGGAGTGCAGGTGAGTGTAGTCCAGACGGTGATGGGGCCGGACCTGAGAAACTGATCTCCCTGGCCCAACCTGTCCCTTCCGTCTCTCCAGATGCACCAGGTGGTCCCTGCGACTCCACCCTGGGTGGGGATATTCATGAGCCTGAACCAGAGCAGGCCCCCGCCCCCCGGGAAGCTGCTCCAGCCCCAGCTCCTCCGTGTGGTGGCCCCAGTGCTGAGGCCTACCTCCTGCACCCTGCAGCTTTCCACGGGGCCCCCAGTCACCTTCCAGCCAGGTGAGTGGGACAAGGGCACAGGGCTGGACTGTTACAGAATGGAGGTTCCTCTCCCTGTTCTGACATTCTCTCTCCACCTTCAGGAACCCCAGCTTCCCAGAGGCTCCGGACTCTGGGCGTCCAGCCCCCTACTCAGCTGCATTCCTGGAGATGCAGCCCGGGCCAGGGGGCTCAGGGTACCCAGCAGCTCCACCTGCAGCATCCTTTGCCCCACACTTCCTCCAAGGGGGTCCCTTCCCTCTCCCATACCCCGGACCTGGGGGTTACCTGGATGTGGGCTCCAAACCCATGTACTGAGCTGTTGTGGGCCCCTCTGCCTCCCTGTCTTCCGCCACAGGCCTCCTGTTCCCTTCCCCCAGCCCTGCCACCCCTACTTTCACTGGCCCCATCCCCCACACCAAATGGCTGCCTTGGGCCTGCCTCCCACCCCCCCAACTTCACACCTTGACTTCACTCCCACCCCCTCTGGCTTCAAAGCTCAGGCCAGGCTGCTCAGAGTCCAGCTGGGGCCAGCTTCCCCTTCCCGACTCTCACCTCGGTGTGAATGGAAGGGGCTAGGCCTGGCCAAATGGAGCCCTCAGACCAGCATCCCCACCTCCACCTCCTGGACCTCCAGGCCTCCCCCTTGGGCTCAGGCAGGTTCTACCCCCTCACCAAGGGCGCAAGCCACACCCATCTGTTGTTCTCAGGACCAGAGTATTTTTGTTAATAAAACTCAAAAGACATCAGTGTTCAGGAAGTGTTGGGCTAATGGTGTTTGGCCCTGGGTGGGCTGGGTTAGCAAAGACTTTGTGGGGAGATCCAGGCCCATGTCTAGACCTGCCAGTTTCCAGCTGCTTGACCTTGTGCACATAAATCAACCGGCTCTAGGCCTGTTTCCCCTTCAGGAAAATGGAGGAATCTGAATCTCCTATCACTAGTTCTTTGGAGAACTAACTAAGGCTGCCTACAAGAACCCAGCCCTCCCCCTAGCATGGAGAAAGCCTTTGGGGAGTGGCCACTGGATGGGGACCTGTCACCGAATGGGGAACTGAAGGTGCTGGGTAAGCCGACTGGCCCGAGCCTCACCTTCCTGGCAGGATTAGGGCTTGAGGCAGTCAAGGCCCTGATGTTCACCCCAAGTCCCAAGCCAACAACCCCACATACCCCCAACCAAGTCTGACATAAACCCAGAGACCATTTTTCTTCTTTTATTAGAATTTTTTTTCATTTTTTTCTCAAAATTTTTATCTAAAAACAAAAAAAAAGGAAAAAAGAAAAACAAAAATTAATGGAAACTTCATGGTTCAAGTGGGGAGAAAGGAGAGAAGGAGCATGGAGCTAAGGCTCCAAACCTCTCCAGAGAAGTCCTCACCCTCGAAGCGCCCTCTAGGGGAAGAGCAGAGCTGGGACAGCCCCCGGGCCCAGGCTCCGTCTGGGGAAGAGGGCAGAGTCACAGTGGTCCGAGGGCCAGAAGGGTTGGAGGGAGGCGAGGGCTGAAGGGTCACAGGAAGTAGTCGGCCACGGGCTTCTTAGAGGGGATGCCCCGTGTCTCTTGGGGAGCAGCCTCAAAGATGATGAAATCTTTCTGGAGATGCTCATCTAGTTCCAAGATGGCTGCCACATTCCCACAGCTGGAAGTAGGGTGCAGCAGTGTTAGTAATGGGTCAGCCAGATCCCCCTCCCACCCTGCCCTCCCACCGCAGCCAGCTCACCGGTAGCAGTAGTTGGGTGCTGACCACACAGTGAGCACAGTCTCATTGAAGTGCCACTTGTAACCTTCCATCACCAGTTGGTGGGCACGGCAGATCATGTCAATGTCGTTGGCTGCATTGAACTGGGCCACCACATCACTGCCAAATAGGTAGCCAGCCCCACGGGGGCTTACACCCCAGCCTGTTGTGTCTGATGAGGCAAACAAGGAAGGGATGGGGAGAGGACATCCTCGGAGCCTTTCTCCTTGCCCACTGTCCCTTGAAGATGAATAGCCTGTCCATCTCCCATAACCAACCAGAGGCCTGTGGGGCAAGAGCATGGGACCTGAATAGGGCCTGGGGAATTCTGGGGGCCAGGACAATGTGGGAGCAGATAAGCTCCATCAGAGAACGAATGCCTGATGGCTGGGGCCACCTCATCATCACAGCTACCATACAACCTTCTGTCCCAAACAGGTATCCAGAAGATGAAAGGGCACTCATAGGGATGTCAGGTCACCCCAAGCCATAAGAGGTCAGCCTGGGAGTGGCAGTGATGGAGTAGAGGCCGTTTGGGTGTGTGAGAGAGAAATAGGCCAAAAGATAGCAAAAGACCTGGCCTTAAATCTCAGCTCTGTCCATACCAGCAGGGAACCCCACAAAATGAGGGGGCCTCAGGGAGCTATCATTCTGGGGGAATGATCTCTGAAGAAGCCGATGTCCATTCTAGGAGACAGCCCTCTAAGGCATGATACACATGCTCCAAATCACGCTTGGAGCTCAATGTATCCGCCACCCAGTCCTCTCTGCTCCTCCTCGAGGGTTCCAGTCAGCTGACAGGTAAAGGACGGAAGCTGGTGGAGACCAGTCCTGCGCCGCCACTTCCCAAGTCCCTGGCCTGACTGCCCCTGCCCACCTGCTCTCACCTTCGGGGTCAGACCAGAGGAGGTCACACATGGGCCCATCGTGAGGCACTTCTTGCTTTCGGTCAATTGTCCGGATCTGGTCCAGGGTCTGGATGGAAGGGGAAAGGCCCCCATGCACGCAGAAGATCTTCAGGGGAGAACAAGAAAAGAGGAAAAGGCTGAAGCCCAAGCCTCCCCTTCCCTCCCAGGCCCAGGGAGCGCCTCGGCTGGCCTACCTTGCCATCGATGATGGCCGACAGGCTGAGGTAGTCAAAGATCTCAGTGCAGTAGCGCCACACGGTCACCGAGCCATATTTGCGCAGGCACTCATCATAGAAGCCGTAGACCTGGGTGATCTGGCGGCTTTCGTGGTTGCCCCGGATCAAGGTGATGCGGTCAGGATAGCGAACCTAAGGGGTGGCCACCAAGCCAGGGCTGGGGTCTGGGCTGTCTCCACCTACCCTCCCACGTCTGCCAGCCGCATTCCATCCTTATAACCCCTTCCCCGGACCAGACTTAGGTTCTCTCGTCTGAATCACGTAGCATCAGCAACCTCATAGACCCCAGTGTCTTCTCAAGATCACAAACCTAATGGCTCCTCCTTCACCTACCAGAGTTTTTTTTTTTTGAGTTGGAGTCTCACTCTGTCACCCAGGCTGGAGTGCAGTGGCAGGCTCAGGGTCATTGCAGCCTCAACCTGCTGTGCTCAGGTGATTCTTCCCCCTCAGCCTTCCAAGTAGCTGGAACCACAAGCACATACCACCATGCCCGGCTAATTTTTTTAAAAATGTATTGTAAGGATGAGGTCTCGCCAAAGTTGCCCAGGCTGGTCTCGAATCCCTGGACTTAGGCAATTCTCTTGCCTCTGCCTCCCAAAGTGCTGGGATTATAGGTATGAAACACCATGCCCGGCTACCTACCAGATATTGCCAAAGTCCATAGTAAGATATTCCAGGCCCTTTATTATCTAACCCCTCACCACCTCTTTCCACCAGTGGTGGATGAGGTGCCTGTACTCAACGATTTGCCGCTTTCTGAGCACAGTGAACCTCCATTTCCCAACTCTCCCTGCCCCTCGCCGTTCTCGGGCAGAATGCTGCCCGCTAGCTCACCCTCCAGGGAGCCCAATCAGATGTTCCAGGTCAAGGGAACAGTCTTTGACCACCCCCACCAAGCAGAAATTGGTCCATCCCCAGTAGCACAGCTCCGAACTGGAGGTGGTCGCAGCAGGAGATGAGGGTGGAATGTATGCAGACAGGCCAGGCCTGTGTGGCCCAGGCCTGGGGTGCAGAAGCCAGGGGCTCCCACCTTAAGTGCCAGCAACAGGAGGAACGTTTCAACGCTGTAGAAGCCACGGTCCACAAAGTCCCCCATGAAGAGGTAGTTGGTCTCAGGGACGTCGCCACCCACCTGGGGAGAGAGAAGGTTCTGCTTGGTCCTCAACTGTCCCCTAGCCATGGCCGTGGCCTGTGTTCCTATCTAGCAGAGAGCCTTCTTTCACAAAGGGCCCATCTATCTACAGGCCACATGAAGACTTCCAATCTCAAAGGGGCCTTCCAGCCACTCTCCATCCTGTTTCCCAGTGTTGCCCACACTCACTCTGAACAGCTCCTTGAGGTCATAGAATTGTCCATGGATGTCGCCACATACCTGAGAAGTAGGAAGGAGGGTTGGAAGCTCACACAGTGGACGGTTTCCAGGGACTATTCTCTAAAACACCCACGGTTTTAGGGAGCTTTATTGCTCTTGGCTATGTCTCTATTTCTCAGGGCCAAAATCTACTCTCCCACCCCAAATTAGCTTGGTCTGGAGCCACTCACTGACCCACACTGAGTGCCAATTACTATGTGGACAAATCCTTCCAGCTGGACCTGCTGCTCCTGGATGATCTGGCCCCCCTTTTCTCCCAGTCCCCTCAAGGTACCCAGAGTTACTAACACAGAGCCATGGAAACATGTGAGTAGAATCGCTCACCAAATTAAGAGTCCTGCCTTGGCCAAGAGTCTCCCCATAACAACAACAACAACAAAAAGACCCTCCCACAATATCCATTTCTTATAGCAGGGCTCCCTTGAAGATGGGGAAGAGGACAGATACATGAGGTTTTCTGGGCTGCCACCAGGAATGAGGGATGGACTTCTGGAACCCACAGGGCTAAAGGGAACATCCATGTGCCTGAAAGACCAAGCCAGGCTCTGCAGGGGCAGAGGGTACTCACTGTAACTGGCGAGTCCACCCTCTGCACGTTGCTCTCCTCTACCAAGATCTCTCTGGAGACAGGAGAAGATCAGGGTCACCACAGCCAGGCCAGCCCAGCCCAATTCCTGGCCTTTTTTGGGGGGACAAGAGGATATGAGGTGGTCCTTGAACCTCCGGGGGGCAGGAATGAAGTATGCAATTTCCCCAAGACAGGCAACCACAGCCCTCCACCACTCAACACCCTTCCATGGCTCCCTGCTGACAAAAGGACAAAGTCCAAGTTCTTATCCTGGCATTCAAGCCCTGCCAAGTAGGCTGTGGCTTTTCCAGTCTTGACTTCCCTTGCAGCTCCAGCACTCACTCCTGGAAAGCAGGTCTCCTCATCCTTTCCACAACAGAACCCACTGTTCTCTAGAGCACTCCCCGAGACTGTGCTTTTGGTTGATTGCTCACATCACTTTCTGCAAATCACAGGGCCTCTCTCCCAGGCTGTCCAAAGACAAGGATGGGTACCCATTGCAGGCCAACCATCAGATCCATCTTTCAAGGACGTGCTGTTAATTAAGTTTCCAGCATTTCTTTACAGACAGTGAGGACTTTGTTTTTATTTCTCCTTGCAGTGTGGTACTGTCTCCTTCCACTATACTTAAGCAAGCCTGAGATAAAATCACTCTATCAGTTACAGACACCCAACTTAAGCAGCACTGTATCTCCAAATTTTGTTCCTGATGTTAATAGCAGCAGTGAACATTCAAGCTCATACATGTGCCAGTACTGGGATTAAGAACTTGGCATAGATGCATGCCATCGAACAACCACCCTCCAAGTGCACAGGAGAAGAAACTGAAGCACAGGAAGCTCTGGCTCAGCCGCAGTCACACTGGTGGGATTTGAAATAGGGCAGCCTGGCTCTTGGGTCTGACTATCAAGCTATTCTGATGTGGGAGGGCCAGGCACTTTCC